AGCCATGATCTGCTGTTAATATGAATCCAAACTGCCCACTAGCACTTCAGCATAACTCTCAGAATGCCCAGACTGAGAGGTGGAGGGCTGCTGGAGGCAAAAGAGCTACTGCCCGAAAAGGGGTTCCTCTTCACCTTCTCTGGACTGATGTCACTTTCCTCTCCAACAGGACCCACCTAAGACCTGGCTCAGCAATCCCTCTTTGGGGCCTCTCATCCACCGGCCAGCTTCCTTTCCTGCTCTCCTGGGGCAGATGAATGCTTTCTAAAAAATATCCTCCATGATTCTCTAACAAATTCTTTACACAGCAAGTAAGCTTCAGCTCAGATATGACCAGATCATCAAAATTTGAATTTTATGGAGATCGAATTAATGAGGTTTTTTTTTTCCTTATACAAGTACAGTTTATGCACTTCTGGATCATCTTCCTCTTTTTGAATCTGGTAGTCCTACCTAGAATTTGACCAGCTTGCAGACAAAGGAGCCAGAGCTGGGTTGTTACCGTAATTCACTCATTTACCAACCACTCTTGAAGTACTACTTACTCTGAACTGGCATGGTGGGAGGACAGAGATAACAACATGAAGACACCTGCTCGTGAGGAGCTCACAGGCTAACAGGGAAAATAAAACATGAACATCAAGTATTGTGTGTACAGGGCAGAAAACAAGGACTAGCCTGTAATAGGACCCCAGGGCCTCAGAAAATGGAGCTGTTCCTGCAGCTGAAGGATTTATACACTCACCCACCACATGTTTCCAGACGACCTACCAGGTGCCAGACATGTTCTAAGACTGGAGAAACCCCCATGAACAAACCAGACATGGTCTCTGCTCTCATGGAGCTTACAATCTAGCAAAAAAGACAAAGTAGGATCAGGGTATTACAATTCAGCATATAGGTGTGCTGACTCGGGGCAGGGGGCGGGGACGGGTACAGAGATTTGGCATCATACACACATTTCACTTAGGCAAACACAATGGTATATTTTTCTGAAAAGTTAAAAAAAAAAAGACAAGGAAAAAGGAAAACAATGTTAAGTCATTTGCGCCATTTCACCGGCGCCTCCACTCACTGAACAGACCGGCTGGAGGGCCTAAGGCAAGCTTGTGCGCCTGCCGCTCCTTGTGGCCTGTTACAGTTCCCAAGAGCCCTTTCAAAAGTGAGCTGCTTGCCTAAGTGTAAGTCCAACACCTAAAAATATGTGGGTATTTTTGCACAATATGGCCCTAATTGCAGGCCAACCATTTTATCTGGAGCTCAACCAAAGAAACTCTGATGTATTCCCACACAGGAAGGAACCAACTGTGCTGGATCTTTCGATGCTGGTTTTCAACATGGCACCTTACTCAGGGTTTCCAAGAGGAATTTTGGTTACACTCCATTTTTATCTTAGGTGTGACTGTATAACCCAACCGTGGAAGGAGCCGAGTCTCGTCCAAGGCAGTACTGTGGGATACATAGCAGGGGCCCATGATCTGGCTCTGGAAGTTGGGAGGTAGCCTCCTGGAGGGGTCTCTAAGTCCTTGAAGATGAGCAAAAGAGAAGGCAAGGCTCAGATGGGAGAGAGAAAGGTCCGGGGGAGCGCGTCACTGCTAGAGAAGAACAGCACCGAGCAGAGTTTGAAAGGCTGGTGAGATCAAGGTGGGTCCAGGGAACTTGTGGGCACAAGGGCAGGGGAGGATGAGAACACGAGCTTTGTGAGCTACCACAGTAGTTTGGAATTTATTCCAAGTGCAACAGTGAAGTTTGGAAAGGTTTTAAGCAGAGGAATAACAGGAATAACTTTAAGAAAGTTCATTCCGAAGTGCATGAAAAGATGCCCAACATCATTAGTCATCAGGGAAATGCAAATCAAAACCACAATGAGACACCAACTCACACTGCAAAATAACAAGTGTTGATGAAGATGCGGAAAAACTGGAACCTTTATACACTAATGAGAAAAATGGAAAATGATGGAGCCACTTGGGAAAACAGTCTGGCAATTCTTCAAAAGGTGAAGATGGAGTTACCATATGACCCAGCAATTCTACTCCTAGGTATATAACCCAAGAGTAATGAAAACATCACCACGTAAAACTTGGAACATAAATGTTCCATAGCAGCATTAGTCATATCAGCCAAAAATGGAAATAACTCAAATGACCATCGACTGGTGAACGGATAAATAAAATGTACTGTTCATACAATGGAATATCATTCGTTAATAAAAAGAAGTACTGACACATGCTACAATACACCATGATCCTCAAAAACATGTTTAGTGAAAGAAGCCAATCACAAATCACCACAAAGTGTATGATTCCATTTATATGAATGTTCAGAATAGGCAAATCCATAGAGACAACAAGTAGTGGTTGCCAGGGTGGGAAAGGGGACTGGAGAGTGACTGCTAATGGGTACTGGGTTTCTTTAGGGTGATGAAAATGTTCTAAAATTGACTATGGTGATGGTTGCACAATTCTGTGAATAGACTAAAAGCCACTGAAGTGTATACTGTTTTTTTAAAGGTATTTTTAAGTAACCTCTACATCCGACGTGGGGCTCGAACTCACAACCCTAAGATCAAAGTCACATGCTCTACCAACTAAGCTGGCTAGGCGCCCCTGAAGTGTATACTATAGAAGAGGGAACTGTATGCTATGTAATTAATATCTCAGTAAAGCTGCAAAAAACAAGGAAAGTTTATCCCAGCTGCAGTGCCCATAACAGAGGAAGGGACGGGGTACGGGGCAGAGACCGGGGAGGAGGCTGCCACAGGGATACAGCAGGAGAAGATAGTGACTGAACTAAGGGGAAGATTTCATGGGACCAGACTAGAGGCCAGAGGAACGCTTGTCACGGCTCCCCAAGTTCTCCTGGGTAGCTGGTGTGTCTCCCAAGAGGGAGAGTGGGGACACAGAAATGAGGTATCTGCAATTACTATCAAGCAGCAAAACGTATTTCAAATCTCATGTGTAAAGACTAAGAAGAATACAGAAAAGTGTGTAGCTCTCCTGCCCACATGCATAAGGAGCACCCAGGCACGCTGAGCTGCCACTAGGGGACCATCCTGACTATCCACCCCCACTCCCAAACTCCAAAGAGAGGGCCTGGGCATTCAAAGCCCCTGTAAGATGTTTCAAGATCTGAGTGCCTGAGTGTAGGCTGCAGAGTGAGACAGGAGGTGACCAACCATAACTTGGGGAAATAAAATCTTTAAGATACTTTTCTGGTTCTGTGTATTTGTAAGGACTGCAAGGCTGTTCAAGCAGGCATTTTTCTTGGTTAGATCAAAAGTCCAGTTTTGACTATACACCACCACCACCCTCCCAGAAAGCCTTCCCTGATCTCTAAAAGGAGACTGGCAAGGGCTTAAGGTCATGGGACAGATGGGCCTGAACTACTGGTGGAAAAGGTCATGACTGGGAAACACAGAAGCATAAAGAAGGGCATTTCTTGAACACTGCTGAGACCACATCAATTAGGACCCTGACCACAAGGACATCTTTGTCATGCTTGAAGACCCACAGACTGTAATGGAAAAGGGATGGGGGTGAATCCTTGTCCACAACCTCATGGTGTCACAACCCTCAACTGTCTCTTTGACCCACCCCACGCCTGTAACAGAAACCAGGGCTGGCCAGCCCACCACAACCATTGCTTCAGGAAGAGTAAAAACACCACAGAGATGCACCAATGAAGTCAGAAGCTGTGGTACCAGCCCATTCAGTTGCCAGATGGGAAAACTGAGGCCCAGGCCCGTGGACAGAACCAGGAGTTGGCACCTGGGTCTCTGACTCTCAGGTCCTTGTCCTTCTCACTCTACCAACTCCCTAAACCTTGCCCCTTCTCAAGAACCTGGCTCTCAGCTGTGTGCTTCACAGGACCAAAACAGCTGAGAAACTTCAGAAACATTAGGTCTCAACTGGCAGAGAACCAGCTCTTTCCCAGAATCCTATCAGGAAGCAGAAACATGCAATAGTTACAGGCTCCGATCTTTCTAAAGGGAGTGAAAAAAGCAGTTTAACCAACAAAACATGGTACAGTACAACTGCTGCAGCTCTTAAGTCCCACAGCCCTTTATTTTCTTTATTAGCAGCAGCATTCTGTATTCAATCACACCATACTGTAATCAACTATCAATGCGACCATTAGCTCAGCCACAAGTAAAGATCTCTAGAATCCAGGGCTACACTAGGTACTGAAACAAGCCAGACAGGTGAAGAGCTGTGACACCACAAAGGGACAAAGGTTTACAATCTCTAACTCTTAAATTCTAGTGAATTGAAGAGAAACACTATTTTTAAGCCTGCAAAGGAATATAAACATTAAATACTTCAAGATAGAGATCAAACAGGAAGACAAAATAATCTACTGCCTTTAAAATAATCTGAAAGGAGTTTAGAAACAAACAAGAAATAAACAAGCTAAAATTTCCATAACTATGATCTTATTAGCCAGTTTTAAAGATAACTTCAGGCGCCAGAACTTGGAAATAGAATAAATACCAACGTATCACTTCTGAAGTGATAATAAACAACAGGACCCCATCTCTGATGGATGGATTTTTTTTTTCCTACAGTGGCCAAAAAGCAAGTTGAATTCTATATACAACAGACAGACTATACAATTAGGATCATTTAAAAATAATGAGACTCCTCTCTTTGCCTTCTTCCAAAGTATATAATATATATTTAACAGCACGCATAAGACACCACTTGAGCTCCCTTGTAGCCAACAGGAAGTATTTTCACATATAAAAATTAAAAATTTTAACTTTTAAATCATTAATATTTTTAAACATAATACAGACTTAAAAATTGTTCAACATTAACCCATGACCCCACCCCTAGCACAAAAGTCCACCCCAAATCCAGAAGTCACAGTTTTTTGTTCCTAAAAATCCCACAGCACTGAACTTGATCTTCACTTCAAGCTGACTGCTACGAAGAGGCCCCTAACAGAAATCCCCAGGAAGGAATGGAAGCACGATCGACGCTGCATCTCTTATCTACCTGGGCGGCACTGGTGCACCTCTGTAGTCAGGTCCATGAGATTCGGCCCCGACACTAGGGTCCTGGAAGGGTGAGCTGGCAGCTTCCCTCATCTTCCCCCTCGAAGGCTGTCCAATAAGCACCTGGGAATTGACTTTTCTTGGGAAAAGGGTGCTGGTAACAGCTGTCAGGGCCAAGGCAATAGTGAGAAGTTCAGTTCTCTGCTCTTTGGATGAACTGTGTAAAACATTTCTTTAAAAGACACAATGTTAAAAATATTAAGAAAAACGTCTACAAAATCTGGAGGGCTGCCTTTTCCTCAAAGGGTAAAGCTTGTGGGATAGTGGGAAAAAAGTTGAGGGCCCAGAACTCTAACTCTGCAGCAAAAGATAGATGCCCTTCAAAACACGTCACATTCTTAATATGTCTTGCTGAAGTAGCAAGAGCTGAGGGTGACTGTGTAAGAGCAGGAGAGGCGCCAACTCCTGCAGGGGGAGGGAGGGAAGGTTCCTACTGTGCACCCCACCCTGCACGAGAATGTCAGACTTTAGGGCAGCTGCCATTGGCCCCAAGGGCATCAGGACTCTGCCTCTGAACCAGAGCTGCTTTCCCGACTAACTTCAATCTGGAGAGATGGTAAGTTATCTAACCGGCTCTTCTTTTGGCGAGACTGTTCTTTCTCCTTTATCAGAGCCCCCCATGCCCTTTGCAGCTCAGAGTCGTCTTCCTCAGTGCCCGGTGTTCTGTGATCCACCTTCTTCGTGTTCTTTTCTTTGGTCTTGGGTGCAGATCCTAAGCGAGTCCATAAACTACCTGTTTGGGTGAGAAGGCATTTCAGTTTTGGTGGTCAATGCTGAGAAGCAGGGGCACTGCCAACAACCTAATGTGCAAGAAACACTGGGGAGGGGGTCTGTGGCTCTTGGAACCTTTGTGCAGTGTTGGGAAGGTTATCTCCTTTCCCTGGCTATAGTCCCCTGCCTGCAAAGTGAGGGATCTGGACCCAATGGGAGACTCTCACAGCTAGGGACATGTGCCTCCCATATGCGTATCAGAATCACCTGCAAGGCTACTTATGCTACATCTCCCCTCCCTGGTGAGACTCACCATTCAGTGTAGAGCTTCATTCTGCCGGGAGCGGGCCATTCCCAGATCATTCCCAGCTATAAATTCTGCAAAGTGAGGGACCTGCTACACTGTAAACTTTCAGAGATTTGGCCCAATATCTATTCATTTTTAAAATATACTTTATTAATATCTCACAATAGAGAAATATGTGTTTAGAATTTCATAGCATACTATAAGGCAATTAAACATTTTATTTATAAAGAATTTTAACAACATGTGGGGCACCGGGGTGGCTCAGTCAGTTAATCCTCTGACTTCGGCTCAGGTCATGATCTCACGGTTCATGAGTTCCAGCCCCGCATCAGGTTCTCTGCTGTCAGCACAGCTGTCCCCCTCTCTTTGTCCCTCCCCTGCTCGTGCTCTCTCTCAAAAATGAACATTTAAAATATTTAAAAAAAAAAAAAAAAGAATTTAACAGTGTGGAAAAATGATCACAATTAAAATGAAGAAAGCAGGTTACGTATATGGACAAAGACTTTAATGGAGACTTAAGACTAAAAAGTATTTGTGCTAAACAGAAAGAACCAAGGCTGGTTTTGTTTTTTTCTATTTTCTAAGTTTCCTATACTGTTATTATTACAATTATGACAATGACTATAACGGAAGAGGAAAAATAATTTAATTCTGACATATGCTATTTCCTGCCTTCAACTAACAAAGTATTTCTATGCTATAGTCTGCTCTTACCCAATTCCTATCTCCTTCAGTTTTAAGTGTTACCAACCTGATTTCTTCTCCCGAGTATCAGAGTAGAGGCCTTTAACATCTTGCCTGGGAACACCCAGTCTACTATGTACATCAGAAAAAGGCTCTCTCCGAAAGACTGGGTTACTACTAAAAGCCTTTTCTGGAGAATATGGTCTTTTTCCTAACCGCTGGCGTATATCTAGAAGAAGAAAAAAAAGTATTACTGTGACCAAGCTTGTGTGCTTTGCTATTCATACTGTCAACCTGAGATCTCTACAGGACCTAGTGCCAAATCTCCCCAAAGGAGGACAAAGAGCCTGACAAAATCAAGCTTCTAAAATTCTTCTGTGTAATCAGTCTGGATTCCCCTAGGAAAGTGCAGACATAGGGGCTTTCAATGGAAAAAAAGCCTCTCAGCTGACTGCTCCAGAAAGGAATTTCTGAGGCAGAATCACCTGTTTGGATTTTTTGTTTTTTTTGTTTTTGTTTTTTTGTTTTTAGTAGAACCAAGTATACCAAAGAATTTCCAAACATCTCAGCTAACAATACTATAAATTCCCTGAGGGCAGAAGCCACAGTCTTTGAACATATAAGGAATTTTTGATAAACTTATTACATTTAACAATAAATGTAACAAGATGGCTAAAACCCAAAGGATCAAGGGAAGATATTCCAAATCAAATTTGCTTTTCCTCCCTCCCATCCCTCCGAAGTCTGTCCTCTTGAGTTCCCTCTAACAATACACAGCAGCAGCAGCAGCAGCAGCAGCAGCAGCAGCAGCAACAACAGGTTTATTAGCAAGTCATTGGGGTTTTTACCCATCCTGCTAATTGTCTCACAGAACAGCATTCCCAACTTTCTGGTTCCTCAGGGCTGAGCCCTTTGGCTCCTCTCCCTTTGCTCCCTTCTTCCCAATGCTGAGTCTTCTATCTTCACAAAGTTTGATGTTCTCATCCATTCTGTCTCCACTTTCCCTGATCTAGATCAGGTCCTTGTTACTTATTTAAATCTCTACCCTACCCCACCTGGTCACAAAATTATCTTTCTAAAATAGACATAAGATTAGGTTACTTCCCACATCAAAAAACTAGGTTTGCCAACTGAGAGCCCACACCACCCCTACCAAGGCCTTGCTCTAAAGCCACTTTCTCTGAGAAGCCTTCCACAATTCCCTGAGTAGACCTCCCTCCCTCCGTGTGCCCAATGCCCACTGCTTACAGACCTATGAGAACACTTACACTCTGCTGTGGGGTGGGATTACCTGAATGTGCACACTCACGTTACTACATCTGAGTCCTAGGATGACTCGGCAGACCCTCCAAAGATTCTAACACTCCCAGCACCTACCCCTGGCACACAGCAGGCATGCCCAAGTACCCACTCTATGTGTATTTGCACATATATACTATCTAGTTCAAATTCTTAACCATTTACACAACAACCCAACCTAATTTCTATTATCGTTATGTATGAAGTATATCAATGACATTCAGAGCAAAATAATTGGGACAAAAATATTGAAAGCCAGTATTGCAAAAGTATGATTATGTTCCATGTCTTAAGGTTCCAATGCCTAACCAAAAATTTAGAAGTGATGAAGCAGGGTAACTAAATCAGTTCACTAATGGCAATGTTTTAACCAAAGACTTATCTCTGCCTGAATTCACTTTCTGGAGCTCAGAATGAAGCTGAGAAATGCAAATGAATACTACCTGATTTAGTATTGCTGCCTGGTGGCCGTGGACGTGTGTGCTGACGTTTTTCATCTAACAGATGTCGGACATCTACAAATTTCTCAGTCGGTAACTTGTTACCGATTCGGTTTTTGATATTGCTTGTGGATACAGTATCTGCCCTCATGGAGTTCCTTTAAAAAAAAAAAAAAAAGGCACAATTAACCAACTTCAACTGTGGGACAACGCCTATGCAACAATCTCATATACTTTGGAGAAAACTTAAGATACCCAATTTAATATACCAAATATTCACTCACAAATACCATACACCAATAATTATTTGCTTATAAAAATCATGATCAGCTTGCTACAGAGAGACTAGTCAGGGCAAATAGGTTCCTGAGTTTTCCAGGGTGGTTTCCACAAATGATACCTGTAAACTATCACAGAATGTATAATTACAAGTTCCCTCCCTTCTGAGACAAACATTAAGTAAGGCCTGCAAAGCGCTCAGGGATCTCTGTTCATGCAGGCTGTGATTTCACAGCAGTCAAGATACAAGAGGATCTATAATCTCTTTCGTTAAAGAGCAGACTTCTCAGTCAAAGACATCTGCTACCATGCACCAGCATTATTCTGACAGCATTCAACACTGGAAAGTTCTCTAAAAACTAAAAATAAGGATATGAACAAAGTCATACAAACAAACCAGATTGAACTGTTTTTCCTTTCCCCAAACATACCACCAAGTACACTTAGGGAGAGCAACTCTAGACCCCAACCAACCCTTTGAGCTGTACATCTGCCCTCAGGAATCTGCTCATCCCCACTAGTCATCAAAGAAATACACATTAAAATAACTTTTTTTTTTTTTTTTGGCCCACAAAGTTAGCAAAAAGTAGAGAGTGATAAGTTTGTAAGTATATAAGTAATAGGTTATAAAGTGAGTAAAACCCTTCTGGAAAGATATTTAGCAACACCACATTTTTAAACACACATATTGTTTTGTACAATAACTGGAATTCAAGAAATTTAATTAGTGCAACAGTAAGAAAATAGAAACCTAAATGTCCATCAATAAGGGACCGGTTAAATAAATCATGCTACTTTCAAACAATGGACTACATCTGGGTGAAAAATAACAGAGGTCTATATATATGAAATGGAAAATGCACACTGTAAAACAATATAAATCCAACTTCATTTTTGAAGAAATATATTTCTCCGTGTGTTATGTATACACATAAAATTAGCAGGAAAATTATTCATTCAATTGCTAAGTCTCTATTTTAGGAGAGATTGAAACCATGGGTGATTTTCACTTAATATACTAACATTTTTATAACAAGGAATCAATTGTGTATTTAAAGAAACAAATGGGGGCGCCTGGGTGGCGCAGTCAGTTAAGCGTCCGACTTCAGCCAGGTCACGATCTCGCGGTCCGTGAGTTCGAGCCCCGCGTCGGGCTCTGGGCTGATGGCTCAGAGCCTGGAGCCTGTTTCCGATTCTGTGTCTCCCTCTCTCTCTGCCCCTCCCCCATTCATGCTCTGTCTCTCTCTGTCCCAAAAATAAATAAACGTTGAAAAAAAAAAATTTAAAAAAAGAAACAAATGGATGCTTTTATTCAAA